CAGCAGTGAGATGCGAGCTTGGCACTGGGGAGACCCAAGCATTCAGGACAGGCTCAACCTTGTACAAAGACCTCTGTCGGTAAGCAAGGGCTGGACATTCACTCCCTGGCCTGGCCACGGACTCTGGTAGAGCACATTGAGGGGAAATGTAATATTATTTCTAGGCAAAGATACCAGGACAGGACAGCGATTGCATGGTGGAAACAGTGAAATAACCAATGAAAGAGCCGCTGTGGAAATAAAGATGGGAAGCTGGAAAGGAAGAAAATATTTTAGAAAGAAAAAAATAATTGTGGCTAGGAAAGGAGGGGGAGGTTGTTCTTCGCTGAAATGGTTCATCTGTAAAGGAGGACAGCCCAGTGAGGCTGGAAGACCACCGGTCCAGGAAAGGTAACTCTCCTCGGTTTTCCAGGAAGAAAGTAGAAGCCACAGAGGGCTTTAGTGCCTGCCCTCAGGTTTGGGAGTTGGTCTGGCAGCAGTTTGACAGAAGGCGTGGTGATGGTGCGCTGGTTAATGGGAGGAGAGCTGGGGAGGGTCCCGAAGGGCATGGCTGAGGGGTCTGTGCATCGGGGGAAGGCAATGCCAGGAAGGAAGGAAGCAGCAGCTAATCCACTGCCAGGGGCAGACACATTGCACTCTATTTGGTGCTGTGTGCCCTGTGCTACCATACCCTCTCCCAGCTCCAACCTTCAGTAAAACTCTGCTAAACACAGGCTCTTTGTTAAAGACCCCCCAGGGAAATGAAAGTGTTCTATCAGCATGGGATTGAGCTGGGAAGAAACAGCCTCGGTGCAAAGTGTTGGAACTGGTGAGAGTGTGTGTGTGTGTGTTCAGAGCTTGGAAGAAACAGCCTGGGTGCTGTTGGAACTACCGTGTGTGTGAGTGTGTGTGTGTGTGTGTGTGTGTGTGCACGCGCTAAACACCCCATGCAGAGAATGTTTGTTTATTCAGGGTTTGCTTTAATGTATGTGAATTTAAGACACAGCACATTATTTTCTCCTATCTAAATTTTTAAATAGGGCATTGCATCGATCACGGTTCAAAATTCCAAGAGCATGAACAAGCAGCGGGGAACATTCTCGTTCCCACACTGTACCCCTCAGACACCCACCTCCCCTCCTCACAGTGATACTAGTTCTCGCATCCTTCAAGGGATATTTTATGACTTTGCATGAAAGAAATTCACGCAAAAGGCTTTTTTTTGGCTGGATGCAGTGGCTCATGCCTGTGATCCCAGCTACTTAGGAGGCTGAGGTGGGAGCACTGCCTGAGCCCACGAGTTTGAGACCAGCCTGGACAATAAAGCGAGATCCTATCTTTAAAAATAATCAATAAAAATTCAAATTTTAAAATAAAAATTTTTTTCCACTGGTTTACTCAAATAATACCATACTCTATACACCACACTGCCAGACACTTCCATATAATGATTCCAGGTGACTGTTCCCTATCAGCCCATATGAGGGTTCTTACTCTTTTCCTGGGGTTGTGTGATAGTCCTCAACATGGACGTACCATAATTCATTTAAACAGTTTTAAATTGATGGACATTAAGGTCATTTTCTAATTTTTGCTGCTACAATGATTAGTGAAATGAATAAACTGGTATAATACATATTCTTAAATGTGCTTTCATTATGTCAAGGGCATGGATGATTTTCCCCCACTAAAACACAGATGCAATTTAATACGACAAACCATATTTATTTAATAAAAATGTGCCGTCAAAAACATTGTTGTCATATGTATTGGATTCATAGGGTGTACTTTATAAGAAAATGCTAGTTATTATAGCTAGTCATAGCAGGTTTCAGAAACAGATCATGTAAATACTGAAAATACGTGTTTCTGAAATCAGATCATGTAAATACTGATAACTTTCAGCTTACTTGCCTCAGGACGGCCAAAACCAAGCGTGTTCACTGAAAGCACTAAGGGCAGGGGGCACGGAACGCGACACAACTGCTCGGCCGATTTAAGAAGCTCTGAACGTCGAATCAGGAAGCCAGGCCCTCAATCCTCACCCTGCCACTAAGGCACAACAGCTTGGCCCGTTTAAGAAGCTCTGAATGTCGAATCAGGAAGCCTGGGTCTCACTCCTCACCCTGCCACGGCGAGCCTTTCAATAAAGTGGGGGTGGTGATTCCTGCCCTACGGACCTGACAAAGTGGTTCCGAGGATACAATGGGAAATTATTCACATATGTGTTTAACACGAAATGTGAAATCTAGTGTTATTCCTTTGTTGCCACAGTGCCGTGGGTGAAGGTCAGTAGATAATCTATCTATGGAATAAGTTCTGAAATGCGTTTCATAGAAGAAATGACACTGGACATGACCACTTTAATTAAATGCACTGAATGGTGGCCCATATAGAGCAGAATGTTTTTAAATACAACTAAATAAAGAATCAGTGGGGAGACAGATCACTACTGGCTAACCATCACAACTTTTTTTTTTTTTTTTGGCTTCCTCACTACCTCCCATCTCGTCTACAGTTATTAAAATCAAGTTTACTGCTAACAATCACGACTGGAAAGAAATCTGGAAACCACCCAAATCTGAGGGGCAGGCAATCTATTTTTGCCAATTAATACTGTGTTAGTATTCTTGGATATGCAGGTAACATCGTCTCTCTGGATTCACTTAGAAATGATCAATAAAACAAACAGGAAAACGAAATTTAAGTACTCCAGCAACTGAAATGCTGATGTGTCTGGAGTTGAGAAATATCAGGACACCTGCTCATCTCACTCATTAAAACCTTTAAGATGCGCCCTTACCAAAGTAAACAGGTAACAACCCCCAGACCCCCACTCTTCTCAGTGAAGCCACTAGAATTTCCGGTCCCTCTTTTCTAGTCACTGACTCCATGGCAACGGTCCACTGACCTGCCCTTAAGGGAAACAGAATCTCTGGCAAGGCTGAGACTTTGAATAATTCCACTTGTCAATACAGGTCAGAGAGAAACGGATGGATTCCTACCAAGTAACTTAACAAACCTACTAACAAAATCAGTATCCCCCAGCAAGTGACTAGGTCCAGTGCCCACAGCACCCCTTGGGACAACCAAAAGTCACATCATTAGTGTCCAAGAAAATCCACACCACCTACACCTGTCCATCAAACTGCTCAGAGAATTTGGGTATCTCCCTGCAATATTTTCTTGATTTACCTTTTCCCCCAAAAGGCCAATGTGTATTGGGTGGCTCATTCAAAGTGATTATTAATTGGATTATTAATTTTCTCCACAATTTATTTTTGACAAATAAATACAAAAATATCTGCAGAAGATGGCATATTTGGATGTACAAGTTTCCTGGTAGGAATATTGTCCAGAAATATCAGTTTTGTTGACCAAACTTCCCTCTCAGGGGAGGTCAAGGATCTAGTAATAACATTTTCAATACCAAGGATCCCAACTCAGCCCTCCACCGAAGAGACGCTCCCCCTGCTCACCCCTTTTCCTTGAGATGTTCTGGTGTGCAGCCTGCTGTTAGTAACAGATTGCCCTTTTGGTGGCTTTGCTCTCTGATTCAGAAATATAAACACTGCTTCAGAGATTTATTTTACAATTCATCTTCTGATTTGTCATGGCCGGGAAGGTCGGCTTTCACATTTTCTATTCTAAATTACTTTGGAACAGATTTTGCAAACAGACAAAGGAATGGCTTTTGTGTGGACCGGAACAAACTCTGAAAGTTGGGACTCCAGTCCTAGCCCTCTTTTGTTAAAATGTAAACAATCAGAAACCCCACAATTTCCCAAATCAATTATTTGGAAAAGAATAAACAGGTGCTTTGGAGACACTGGAGTTATGAAAAGAAACTAGCAAATTATGTTTTCACGGGCCCAGCTGCTGCACTGATGTGGTTCTGTAGAAGGTGCTTCTAGGATCTGAAGCTCAATCAGCAAATCAATTGAGATCATCCCTGTCTCTGCCAGCGGAACCATGGTGCCACTCACCCTCCTCCCATCTCAGGGCTTTCTGATGAAGCCCCTCTGCCAACGCCAGTGCCAAATCCATCAGCTCCAGGCTCCTTTGCTTCCCACTGACTCTGGCTGACAGGAAGCCCGTTCCGGTTTAACCAGGATCAGCGACCTCTGGAAGGAGCAGTATGATGGGACTGCACCACCTACCTGCTTATTTCTCTCTGTCCCAGCCTAAGAAGCCGGGCTCAGCACAGACTCCACAGGGGCTGAGTGGCGTGGCTGGCTGTCACTTTCTTTCAGTGGGAAACAGATAGGACCAGGCAAAGCAGATGGTCCCTCAAGGGGCACATCCCAAAAATCTGCTAGCAAACTCTGGTGGTGGCTTTCAAACAGCTACTTACTGGATAGGAAAATCAGATCTCCCCCGCCACCTCCTGCCACAATCCCCCCTGCCTGCATACTTGCCCACTTAGGAGATTTTAATCCTCGGCGAGACATAATAACTTTGTCTGGGGCAAAGGACAGCTTGTCTTTCCAAGCTTCCGAGAGATAGTCCCCGTATCTGTCAGTGAAATGCTCCCATATCCATCAATGAAACCTGTTATCCAGGTAAGACCACCTTCAGGAGACCTGATCTGTAAATCATGGGCAGTCAGCCAGTCCTAAGAGAAGCAAATATAAACACCACGTATCTGGCCGGCTGGGTGGAATTAAAGATGGAGCCAGTGTCACTTCAAATGACAACTGAAAATATGTTTCATCACATTGATGGAGGGTTTTTTTTTTTTTCTTTCAAACTCCAAATAAACCCACTAATGACTGTTGGTAGAAACCCTGGCTCTGACTGTATAAATTTGCGCAAATCATCGAAAATTTCTGGGCTTCATCTGTAAAATGAGGAGGCTGAGCTAGAAGATTTCTAAGGCCCCTTTGGCACCAAAATTCTAGAGTTCTTTGGGTGGGGGTGGGTCTCCTCTAACATTTCAGCAAACTGCATCGCTAGTTAACCCGCCTGTGGATTCAGCATGGACTAAACCGAGAGAGGCTGTTTCCTCACGCGTAGCTCACCTTTTCCACCGCCGTGTGTTCTTCGTGTGTGACGTTTGTTTTCCTTGGTTCGTTTTTAGACCTGCTGAGCCTTCTGGATACTTTTTCTCTGAGTAGGGTGGCATATCCAATGTGTTCGTAGATGGGGTTAGTTGTCATTTTTGAGATGTATTCGGCAGCTTTTGTTTCTATGTACAGCGTTATCAAGCCATCTGTCACCAGATCGTGAATCGACTCAAACCTCTTCTCGCCCACGAAGTGTTTCCCGTCGTGGAAGAGCCTGTAGTTTAAGGTCTGGTTTCCAAACCTGCCCACGAGACAAGGAGGGATTACAAGCACGTTAGAAATAGGCACAGTGTGGAGTGATAACAACAGCTAACATTTTTTGAATACTTCTTGTATGCCGGGCACAGGACTAAGCCCTTGATGTGATTTTCTTCCCCCTGATGATCACAGAGACCCTCTGAGATGGTACAGCGGTTATGCCTGTTTTACTGTGGAGGTGATTCATGCTTGAAGAGATGGGGGCTCCTGCCTGGGTTTACATGCCTGGGATGAGGCAGGGGTGGGGCTTCAATCCAGGCCATCACATGGAGTCGTTTGATTCCAGAAATCACTAAGGGCATTGTTAGCATCCTTCTCATTTGTAACAGTCAGAGGGTAATGCCTGATTTACAACTATGTTACTTATACATTTACTTAATGGGAACCAGCTCTCCCCGATACCTGGCAATTACCTCTGCAAGGAATGCTCTGCCCCTGGTTCTGATGCCCCCTTGTTATCGCATCTTTACTACCCCTGCAACAGAGCACCCCATGCCTTCCACCCCAGTTGGTGCAGTGGAAGGGAAGCAATAAGGTGTGCTAAACTCCCTGCTGGAGCCACTGCTAGGGTCCCCACAATCTAATCTACAGGGTCCCTCCTCTCTGGGCCCCAGCCTTCCATCTACAGCCCCTGCTTGATTCCCCACTAGAACTGCCAGCTTCTGCTGTTGAAGTGCTAGGAAGAGAGGAAAGCATTCTGCATACCTAGATGGCGTGATGTAACAGCTGTTTAAGTTCATCCTCATAATCACATTATTTAAGATATATGATCGACATACTACAACTTGGAAAGTGTCACTGCACAGCCATAATATGGAGATGGTGCATTGAACACATCATTGTGGGCCTGGGAAGTGCTTCCACAGACACCATTCCCTCTATGGAGAGAGGGCTTTCCAATTACGAAGAGTTCACAGACGAACTTTTGGAAGATAATTCGGTTCTGAAACTGGATACCTTCCCTGAAATGTACAGGGCTGCGGTGAGGACCAAATGACAGAAAATATTTGATCAAGGTTGGAAAAGTGCCATAAATGCACTGTCTTTCTCGTGTTGTGATGCTTAATACTTATGATTTTGTAGTAAAGGCTCAGTAGAGCCTGTCCTACTGGCTCGTTGGCCTGAAGGGTTGTGACTGCCCTCACAAGTTCCGGGTGTCAACAAGGTAATCACTGAGAGAACCCCGTGTGCAAATGCAGGTGTTGTGAGGCCTGTGTGAGCAAGGCCAGGCGAAGGAGCCCTTCCTTTGACATGGGCTGCTGGGAGCTGAGGCAGAGACCCTGCAGCCTCGGCCAGCTAGATGGTGCAGGCAGAGGCAGCTGCAGAAACACCAGCTTTCCAGATGGTTCCCTAGTTTACTGTGTGTCCATTATCAGAGCCCCAGTGTCCACGCCTACTGATAGCATCTGTGGCTGAGGAAATGTATGCAGCCTCTGATCTACTGCGGGCACTTCAGAAACAAGTGAAGATACCAAGTAAGGAGTAGGGAGCATTACCCTCTGATTTTCACAAACCAGGAGGATGCTGACAATACCCTTAGTAATTTCTAGGATCAAATGACTCTGTGATTGTTTATGGTAGCGGGTGTCTGTTTGGGATGATGAGAAAGTTCTGGAAACGGATTCGGAGATGTTTGCACAACATTGAGAATGTACTTAATGCCGCTGAATTTTACACTTAAGAATGGTAAAAGCCGAGGTGCAGTGGTTCATGACTGTAATCCCAGCACTTTGGGAGGCTGAGACAGGCAGATGGCTTGAGCCCAGGAGTTCAAGACCAGCCTGGGCAACATGGCAAGACCCCTTCTCTAAAAAACAAACAAAGAAACAAACAAAACTAGCCAGTCACGGTGGTGTGTGCCTGTGGTCCCAGCTACTCAGAGGGTTAAGGCGAGAGGCACTTGAGCCTGGCAGGCGGAGGCTGCAGTGAGCCGTGATGGTGCCACTGCACTGCAGCCTGAGTGAGAGGGTGGGACCCCCTCTCATAAAATAAAAATGGGAAAAATGGTGAATTTCATGTTATGCGTATTCTACTACAATTCTTAAAAATGGGCAAATATCAGTGAAGCCACTTGTACAGCAATGAAAACAAGGAATGAAATGCGCCTCACCTGAGAGCCAATGTGTAGCATCCTGGTTGCCTCTGGCTTTCTCTAAGGATGTAGGCACCCTCCACACCTCCGAGAAGCTCATCCGCCTGCTCCCGGGAGATGATCCCATGAAACCTGAAGGTGCAAGACCATTGTTGCTCTGAACAGATCACATACAGAATAAGGACCACAAAGAACTAGCTTTCAAAGGATGGGGGGGGGCACCCGGAATCGACAGCCCACCCAGCAGGGTGAAGAGGGGAGTGACTGCTGCACATCTCAAGTGATTTGAAACCACCCCTCACAGGCACCAAACACAAGTATTCAAACAGGCAAACCAAAGGAAGCATGCCCAGCCCACTTGGCTTTCTGCTATTGTCTTTGCCCTCAAGTTGAAAATGAAAGTTGAAACCAAAAGCCAGGCTACATACCGCCCTCGCTTTTTTTTAACCATGGGAAATAACAGAAAAGCAATTACCAATTTAGCTCTCAGCTCAGAGAACTGTGTGCTATCCTAATTGCAAGTGGACATTTATCGATTAGCAACCTGCTTGCTTCAGGTGCAAGATGGTGTTAATTTTAAAGGCTCATTTTCTGGAAAGAAAATATAATCAACATTCTTCTGGTTCTTTACATTTTGACAGCAGTAGCTTACGGATATCTTAGAAAAATATACCTGTTTTTCTTTTTTAAAGACAAATTTATCTTCTCTACCATTTTAAAACCGATATACATGCATGTGGAAAATGTGGTGTATCTGGGAAGGTTGCATGCTTGGCCCATGATCACTCTGACGTGGAGGCAGTTGTCTGAGGCCCAGAGAGTGGACAGCGACTCACCGGAGGAAGAGGGAGAGCTGAGAGTTGGGTTAGGAACCAGCCCACTTTCCCTGTTGCCTTTAAGCAAAGACAGCTGCTCCTCTCACAGGACTGGAGGTTTGATCAATCAGTATTTCATGAAAAGTGGGGCACACTGAGTTAGGGAGTTAGGTCAGTGACAAGGGACTCCAAGCTTCTGGGAGAGCAGCAATACCCCTTTCTAGGATTACCCAACCTTGGAGAACTTTGGAAACTACATCAGAGAATAAATTTTCTGGACAGAGGAAAAACTCCTTTACTTTCTTGAAAGGAAAAGGAGGAAAGGGAAGTCAGCTAGACAAGTTTTGTTTTGTTTTGTATTTTCCCCAGGAATGCAAAGATTATGTTAGAGTACAAATGTAGAAGGATAACATTTTTTTAAAGTGCCTATCACAATATTTATTTCTTAACTCCCTCTATCCGTAAAAAACAGGACTTCCAGGCTGAAGCTTCTGTCCAAGGAAAGTGAGGTCAGAAGCAGCCTGTGGCTTTGTGTTTCAAAATCGGTTTGTAAAGGTCTACGGCAGTGATGTCCTGGGAGAAAAAGGTTTTCTGGCTTCCCAAATTTTGATTCTAAATCTCAAGAGCTGATGCCTGGAGGTCTTGGAGCAATGCTCTTCTGAGTGAGGAGGAACGTTCTGTGACATAACAGTGAGCATTCCTTCCTCCCCAAAAGACCAGCATCCCTGGTTCTGGTGGGAGGGATTGAGGCAGAGCCCAGTCTCAGGGGGTCTCATTGGTCCTGCCTAGCAGATACGGATTGGAACCGGGAGGCCAGTTTATTGGGGCCTGGAGCAGAGGTGTATGGGCTTTAATGGTGAGGCCACCGGACCTGGGAACCTTGTGGAGTAGCCTCCTGTGCGGCCCGAGCCAAGTTAGAGAGGGTGGGACACATGGCCTGGTAAAGAGCCCTAGGGGCAGCCTTGTGGATGGGCTGCGGGTAGCAGTGAGTGTGGGGGTGGATGGGGGGTGGGGAGGGACATACAGCGGGAGAGTGGGAGGGACATACAGCACTGCATAATATTCCCACACGGAAGTAGAAAAGACAAAAGCTGGGGTGCCAAAAGCACAACTCATGGGCCAGAGTAACAGCTGCAGAACAGGCACACACAGAGGAGAGCACAGGGACCTGCCCCAGGTCACTCCAGGAGAAGGCGGAGTCTCTAAACAAAGGCAGGCAACTCAAAAGCAGCCAAGTTCTTTTTTTGTTTGTTTATGAGAGAGTCTCACTCCGTAGCCCAGGTTGGAGTGCAGTGGCGCGATCTCGGCTCACTGCAACCTCTGCCTCCCAGGCTCAAGCGATTCTCCTGCCTCAGTCTCCTGAGCAGCTGGGACTGCAGGTGTGCGCCACCATGCCCAGCTAATTTTTTGTATTTTAGTAGAGATGGGGTTTCACCACGTTGCCCAGGGTAGTGTCCAAGTCCTGAGCTCAGGCGATCCGCCTGCCTTGGTCTCCCAAAATGCTGGGGTTATAGGTGTGAGCCACTGCGCCCAGCCAAAAGCAGCTTTTGTTTCTTTCTTTTCAATTCTTGATTTAGATAATGCATACTCTTTCCATTTTTATTTTTAATTGGTACATAATCATTGTACATATTTATGGGAAACGTGATATTTTGATACATAAGTACAATGTATAATAATCAAATCAGGATAATGGGGATGCCCATTTTCTCAGGCATTTATTGTTTCTGTGTGTTGGAAACACTCAAAAGCATCTCTTAGCTATTTTGGAATATACAATAAATTGTTTTAACTATAATTATCTTACTGTGCTATTGAACACTAGAACTGAAGTTTTAATTCACTTGAATTGGCAAGTTTAAGTGATTGACAACGTCAGACATATGGTGATAAGAACTAAATTAAATTCAATCGTTCAAAAGAAGAAAATGACAATTTTGTGAACCTGAAGACCCAGTCTGTGGCCTGTCATCCCCTGTATGCACGGTTTTTAAAAGTCTAAATATCTCCAATCCATAATATCTAATATATTAGTATGATTGCAACTTTGTAAGAAAAAAGCAAGCATGCACAAAGACCAGAAAGAGATGAAGGGAAAAGTTTAGCAATAATTCTCTTTTATGGTGGGACTATGGGTATCTTTCATTTTCTATTTTCCTTTATTTTCTAATTTTTCCAAGTTAACAGGTATTAATTTATTAGTTTTGTTTTTTGATACAGGATCTCACTCTGTTTGTTGCCCAGGCTAGAATGCAATGCATGCATTTGGCCTCCTGGGCTCAAGTGATCCTTCCACCTCCCACCTATGGTCCTGAGTAGCTGGGATCATAGGCATGTGCCACCATATGTGGCTAATATTTGTATTTCTTAAAGATAGAGGGTCTTGCCATGTTGCCCAGGCTGGTCCTAAACTCCTGAGCACAAGAAATCTGCCTGCCTTGGCCTCCCAAAGTGCTGTGACTACAGGCGTGAACCGCTGTGCCCAGCCACAATTTATTAACTTTTTGAAAACGAAAAGAACACCTGTGCATAGCGGAAAATTCCAATTTCAAAAGTTGAAGGTACAAAAGAACTAAAAATGCAAACAGTATAGAAGTAAAATTCCTCTCTCCTGAAAGGTATCCATTGTCAGTAGTTTATGATTCCTTCTAGGAATAAATGTGTATGTGCATTTCCTGCATGGAGCATGTATTACTTTTTAAGTGGAAGAAAAAAACACCCTTCATTAAAAAAAATAAATAAATAAAGGGAAACACAGAATCGGAAGGTTTTAGGTTAATTTCCACCTAATACGAGATGTTCCTTTTGGTGGTTAAGAAAACACTTCCTTAGTCTCAAGCCTCTCACTATATGTTTTACATGAATTGAGGGTAGAATATGAGAGCTAAAAAGTTATTCAACAGAACTTTTCTGCAAAAAGAAAATTGCAGAATACACAGTTCCTTTTGGAATTCACATGCCAAAGTGTACATGGTAGATTGTCAGTTTCTTCTCTTTTTAAAAAATTAATTGTGCTATCTTCCAGAAAAAAAACAAATAAGCATATTGAGGCAAAAAAGTCATACTACAACACAGATTAGACAGCAGGGGCATGGGGTGGAGAGAAGCAGAGGCCAGGGCCCCCAGGCAGGCATTCCAGAGGTGCTGGTCAAATTCCAAAGGCGCTACAAGGAAGGTTCTGAAATGCAGCTGTGGCAATTAGGAAGGTGCACTGGGCCAGGACCGCTAAGACGGTCATTAATCATGAAGATCAGGCTCTGATGGGTAAGGGAATAAGAGGAAGGTTTGGGATTGGCTGGGAGAGCTTGGAAGGTAGACTCAAAAGAGACTTTGCCTCACAACGCCTCCAGGTTGGACTCGGGAAGCAAAGTGATTGACGCATCTCCTCTCCCCTGGACTGTTCTGCCTGCCCTCTGTGATGTATTCTACACACCACAGGCTTAGACTGTGAATTATTTTTACGGTCATGCGAATTTGCTGGGCAGTAATGAAATGAAACAAGAGCTGAAATTAAGAGAAAAATGGAAAGGGGAGTGTGAAGGCAATTTGGCCAATATACCCCAGCCAAGAGAAATCACCATTTGGGTTTTATGAGATGGCAGGGAGGTGGGATGGCTATCCTGATCACTGCACTGATGTACACCAAAGTCAGGATCTCAGATACAATGTATGATCTTGGATACCCCAAACATTTCTATTGTGTTGAGGTGGAAAGTGAAATAAAACACTAACAGAGAGCCTCCCTTATGAAAAATGCTGCCTTGCATTTCAAGTACTTGCCAGGCACTCGAGAGCTCTTTTGTGTTGTGAAATGTAGCACAAGATGCTCTCCCTCCCACATGAATGAAAACCAAGCACCTGACTGCTATAAAAAAATTAATCCAAAGGAGTCTGATTGCACTTGTTCTTATCATTAAACTCTTGCACAATAGACATATGTGACCATATATTAGAAAATTCGTAATATTTAAATGGCACACGAAATGACTACTTACTAAATTATTAAAACAAAGAATAGTATAATACATACTCTCTTCCATAATATTTTGGTCTGTTTTCCACCTGTATTAAAAAGAAAAAAAATTAATAATGTATTTGAATTCAAATCAGCTAGATTAAAATGCTACTCAAATAAACAGAACTAGGGTCCTGGTAGGAATTTTGTTACAGATTGTATTCTCCAAATCAGAGATCCATGAAGCTCTGGAGTTAATTAGCACATTTCAGTATGAGGTAGGAATGATCTAGAATCACCACATGCCTCCCATCAATAGGCTCGTTTCCCACCCAAACCCAATCACCCAAGAAGAGATTTTCAACAAAAACAAAGCGATGCTTATTTTAGTATTAAGGAATTTGCAAGGATATTATTAAGGAATTTAAAGGTTTCATCTTGAAGGATAAAACAGCTACTTCTGTCATGAATAAAACATAAGCATTTACTTCACTCCGTGCCTAATTGTTTTTATTATGTATTTATAATTAAAACAAGGAGTCTACCTGGATTAAAAAATAAAGCAGGCTTAACTTGATCACGTTCCACATAAAATCAATATTCTAACATTCTTGCTTTTTCAACATGTGGCTAACAAGCTGGAATCCATTTGACACCAGAGGTGCAGGATAGAGAGAACAAGATTTATGACTTGACTAAACACAAACATTCCAGAAAGGGTTTTTCAATCACAGCTTTAGCCTTGAGGTTATCACATTTTTCTCACATATATGATCATCTACTTTCATAAAAGCTTTGTGTTCTCATGTTGTGATGTTGGAGTTGGTGAGAAAGTAACATGAATTCCCATGTTCAGCTTTTGTTCTTCTCACCTAACTCCAGGGACACTCGAAATATAGTAAAGCACGTTAAGTTGTGGATTTGTATGAATGGTTATGTGTATGACAGCAAGTTTATGTTGATTGACTGCTGTAGACTATGAGCTTAGCAGCGATTTTATTCACAGTCATTTCAACTACCAGAGTCACATTCCTAGAGTCAAATGTACAGTTTTTACAGCAGGGCTCAGGGACAGACACAGTGACAGGATTTCACAACACAGAGCAGTGTCCTGGCCTAGCTCCATCCTCCAAGGGATGCAGATCTGAGTAGGTAGCAGGACACTAGGAACCAAGGGAAAAGGATCAGAAGGGCAGAGCTGGGCCTTGGGGGACCACACTCACAATGCTGCCTAGGACGAGCCTTGCTGGTACCAAACTTGTCATCTAGACGCTTCTAAATATGTGTTCACTCTTCTGTGCATTTTACACCTGAAAATTACTCAACCAAGCAGGACATCCATAACTTAATCTTCAAGGTTCAAAGCCTGCTCAGTGTCCTTTGTGAAGGAGGATTTAAATAGTATCAGTAATAGAAGCAGAAGGTGTGTAAAAAGGCACCTCGTTATCTGATATGCTTTCTAGAAATGATGTGTGCCATTATTCTCCAGGCTGGTAAGCTTTATAATGAGAGCTGAATATTTTGCCATTTATATCATTCTTTTGGCTTGCTAAGTTCTTTTTTAGTTTTCTACTATTACACATATGTGACTGTAAAACCAACAAGCCAGAGAAGAAATTTAGGACTAAAAAAGCCAATGAAAGCTGATGATATATAATGGCAAAATCTCCATTGAGAGGCAATATTCCAAAATTTAAAGTGATTCTCTATATATGAGGCCAATTTTTTATTTCCATCTTTTTGGCTGAACCATAGCGCAAGTTTGCAAACTCTGGGTATAGCGCTCAACCCTATTCCCTTCCTGTATCTTCTTATTTCCCTAAAAGAGAAAGAGTTGGTAATCTAACTTCCCAGATGAGCGGCCTGGTAATAGAGCCTACTACTGCCTCTTGACATGCAGGTAAATCGTTAATAAATGCTCAGTTTAATTGATTCTGAACAAGATAACGAATTGCTTTCAGTTCATCAACCCATCATAAAAATATACAGCATGCTTATGATGTCTGGGTCTCTATGCTCAGGCCAACCACTGTGCATGAAGTAATGACCTCGCAGGTGCAGAGGGGAAGGTATGAGGCGCTCAGGGGGTTCTGCACTTGCAGCAGAAGGGAAATGCTTATGCAGAAATCTAACATAGAACTCCGGAGGGAAGTTGTATTTAGGGTGCCTTGAAGGATGCCAAATAAGATTCTGCCCAGAGGCGAGTTTGATCCAAATGAGGTAGAAATCTTCTGCGTATGCAAACCACTAGAAAATAAAAGAAGGGCCCTGAATTGTATGGGATATTAATATATGACTCCCAACATGCTCTGAGCAATGGGAACTTGGCAGAAATCAAAGCAGAGCTTCCCAAGATGACTGATGGGAAGGGACCATGCTCATGAAACAGACGTGTTAAAATAACATCTATGTTATGACTTTATAGTTACATCTCGAGTATAATTAAATTGTTAGCACTGTGACTACTGGAGATGGGTTCAGTCTTGTCCCTACTGTCCACAGTCCACACATGGTGCTCCTATATATGTGAGGCTATACCAATGTGATGCTTTCAGCGAATGGCCTCATTGCCCAGCGTTCATCCTCTGCACTCATCAAACCAAATGACTTGCAGTTCCATAACTGTATGCCCTGTGATATGCCCATCATTTTTATGTGATCTTATTTTAAGATCCTGAATTCTCTTTTTTTTTTTTTTTTTTTTTTTTTTTTTTGAGACGGAGTCTTGCTCTGTCACCAGGCTAGAGTGTAGTGGCGTGATCTCAGCTCACTGCAACCTCCCACTCCCAGGTTCAAGCGATTCTTCTGCCTCAGCCTCCCGAGTAGCTGGGATTACAGGTGCGTGCCACCACAGCCTGCTAATTTTTGTATTTTTAGTAGAGACGGGGTTTCACCATGTTCGCCAGGATGATCTCAATCTCTTGACCTCATGATCCACCCGCCTCAACCTCCCAAAGTGCTGCAATCATAGGCGTGTGCCACCGCGCCCGGCCCTGAATCCTCTTTCAAAGGAGGCAGATCATTATGTGGGTTAAGAGGCCAGGCTCTGGACTTAAACTGCCTTGCCTTGAGGCCAGATCTGTAGGAATTTAAGCAAGTTATCTATTTCTATACTTCTCAGTTTTCTTATGTTTAAAATGAGAATGATAATGAAAGTACCTGCTCATGGGGCTGTTGTAAGACCTAATGAATAAATACGTGTGATATGCTTGCAACAGTGCCTGGCGCAGACAGCCAGGCATTCGCTGTGAGCTATTCCTGGGATTCAGAGAAGGTCTCCTCTGTACAGAAGGCAGGCTTAGGCCCATCCTTTGCTGTGTTCTTGGAGCTCCTTTTAGGTATCTTCATTAGAAAACTTATCTCACCGTGTTTTAAATATGTATTTGCCATGTTTTCCCTAACTGTTCTGTGGAGCCGCAATTTCCTCTGCATCATTCCCGTATTTCCAGGATTTCTCACAATGTCTGTCACAGGGTAAATGTAGCTACCTCTTGTTATCTGAGTCTAACCCACTCCTAAAAAATGTGTAGGGCAGCAAATCTCCAAACAGCAAGAGCCTATATTCCATTACTTTACATAGAAAAAAATAATTCTTTTTCGGAGCATGCAAAAATATCTGTTTTCCAAATATTACTAAAATGCTCCTAAATAATTATCTGACAATCTAATAACAATCTTTTCACAATATAAAACATTTAAAAACCAATTACCTAATGGTTTAACACTTAATGCAGTAATGAGGAGGTATATTTGTGCACAGTCTACAGCTGAATGGGAATTTCATTAGCCTTCTATACTGAGCATGCATTGTAATAAAAATAAATAATGCAGTGATATTACCAAAGATTCGAAAGTTCCTATCTAATTGGACCTGAGTTGGTAGTGCTCCTGGGCTCCTGGCCTAAACAAATACTGAGGGCTAAACCCTCAGGGAAAAGGCAGGGAAATTAACAGATATAATGCGCTATATGTTTAAACATGCTGCTGATCAGGAGAACACAGCTATGAGAGAAGCCCACCCTTCGTCTTTCAGGGCCCTGCTACTCAGAGTGTGACCTGGGGTCCAGCAGTATTGGCATCACCTCAGAGTGTGACCTGGGGTAAAGCAGTATTGGCATCACCTCAGAGTGTGACCTGGGGTCCAGCAGTATTGGCATCACCTCAGAGTGTGACCTGGGGTCCAGCAGTATTGGTATCACCTCAGAGTGTGACCTGGGGTCCAGCAGTATTGGCATTTGCTAGAAATGTGGGCTCTGCAATTCTAAGGGGATTCATATATACATTAAAGTTTGAGAAGCTGCCACACACAAGAGAACATGTCATAGCTGGTTTCTAAGTGGGAATGTCTTTTAGCAAGTCCCGCTAGCAAATATTTGCATAGTGAATATCCAGAAAATAACAGCTCCTGTCCTCACTACATGTTTGCAGAATGAGACACAGAAGATGCATGTGGACCCTTGCCCGTCAATCCGGCTACTGTGGGACTTTGAGTAGGTTACTAAACTCTTTTGGATCTCATTTTTCTCAGTTTTCAGTAAAACTAGAGTTATAAAAATGGGTTATTTTAATAAGGCTGTTTCAAAGATTAGATGAGATACTGCATGTGAGACTTGGAACATTATGGCAATAACTTCTCATTTATTGAGCGGCTATTCTGTGCCAGGAACAGTCCTGAGGGTTTCTCTCCTGTTGTCTCATGTAAGTCTCAAAACAGTGCTCCAAGGTAAATGCGTGCTATTATTTTACAGAGAGCCACTAAATAACTAGCATGAGGTCACAGAGCTAGTAAGTGGCCGAGCCTAGACTGGGGCCACCCCTACGCACTGTGCTTCACTCCTCCTCCAGCAGATACCCGTCAGGGCTAATGGCTTCTCTCTTGGCTCTCAAAATTCTACAGTTTGACAATTAGATTATCTAAATGGTCTTCGCTTTTCTTTGCTAGGACTCAACACCTTAAAATCTCTTTTGAATGAAGTGAATTCCATCAACAAATTAGCAAATGTGAACTTCAGAAAAATTTGCCTAGGATGGAGTGAGATTTTGGGGTTCTCAAATATTCCTCTGTGATTTGGAAATACATGTATTCCCAAACTACCTGATTTATCCA